GTTTCATCCCCACCGCAGACATCCAACAGGCAGAGTCGACCCCAAGCTAGCTCAAGCTCTGGCCAGCGGCAAGACTCCCTTCGTGTACACTTTGAATTCGTCGCTCCCATGGACACTTCGGCTACCTCTGCATTCCCGAGTCGATCCGCTGGCGCCAGGAGGTATGCGGCGGCGAAAAGGCCATCCAGACTTACTGTGTCAACTTGGCCCGATCAGCAGGCTCCCTCATGGCCGACATTCTGGGCACAAAAGTGCTGGATAACAAGTCCCAGACTGTGTCGGCCTGCTGCATGACAAACGTCCTCTTGCCCCTGAAGCTGGATGCCGGTAACAACACTGAGAACCCGCTCCCGGAGGGCTGGTATGCCGTCAGGAGCAAGCCGGGCGTGCAGTTCAGAGTCAGTGACTGGATCATGCGCAAGATGGCCACTGAGTACGAGACTCTCATGCCCGTCTTCTTCTTCCAGGGCTCCTGGTGGGCTCGGGGGAGTGCTCAGGTCTACCTCGAGCTTAACGACTTCGATTGGGCCGGCAGGATGCTCAAAGACCTCTGCGAGCGAGTTGGCGACGGCGAATATCTCCTATAATCTCACCTTTCTTTTCTTCGATCTCTTTTCTCTTTCTGTCTCCATTTTCCCTTTATCTTTTATTCCCTTGCTCATTTGATCATGACGTCCATTCCAGCAGTGCTGAAGCTTTCCTTCTGCTCCTATTTTTTTCTCCTGTACATATTTCCCCCCTGACGACTCTCCTATGTATTTAGTTTAATGAATAAAAGGTCTCATAGTTCATCTTATCGAAAGAAAAAGGCCAGGTATTTATCTAGGGAATAAGATGCTAGATATATACCCCCTATCAATGTACCGCGCTCTGCAGCCGAAGCTCTCTTCGTTATCTCGGACCCATCCCGCCCAGCCGCAGCTCCTCCCAGCACGCTGCCAGGCGCGGCAAAGATGTCGTAATTATAGCATGCCAATGAGATATCACGTAGCAGTCAAGCATCAGCCAAGCTCCTGGCAAGCTGCCGTCAGCACTCAAAATCTCGGAGGTGCTCGACCAACCTCGTATCTTTCGGTAAAGCGATTCTTCGGCAAACATCCAGTTCTCGCAGCTCTTCCAAGTCTTTGCTATAGCCTGTAACCGATATGGACCGAGTGGAGAGGAATTCTGGCCAATCCTTGCGCCGTGATATGCATTAGTTAGCAGCTGCGAGATCCGGGGTACGCGGGGGAGACCCATATATCCCACGGCCAATATACATATATAAACATACATGGAGACGCGGAGCCCGTCCATCCCCAGATAAACACTCTACAACTATCTATATCCACATCCATCTTCATCAAGATGGGTTTCGTGGCCAAAATGGAGAGTCTTCTACGGCTCAACCCGGCCTCACACCCAGAATTTCGTCATGGGATGTAAGTGAGCCCCTGACCCCTGACCGACCCCCCATTGCAAAACAACAATCACAACAACGCATACCATGCACGGAGTATACGTGTTAGATATATGTTAGAAAACGCCAACAAACAACTGACTGCTCAAGGGTCCTCTTCTGTGCCCCCGGCATCTACGTGGGCCGTCATAGGCCTGGGAGCCGGCGAGCAAGCCGAGCTCTGCGCAGGTCGCTTTCGCTGTCAAATGTCATTCTGTACGGCCTCTTCACGCTGTGCGGCTGGGTTCGGCGGCACGCTGCTCAACATCCTCAAACCCAGAAGAGCGTCATGATAGGCTCGATAGGGTACCCGCTGTACGTTGCCGGCCTCTGGTATTACGACCGGACAGGCCACAGCTGGTTCCCCTTGCTTGCCAGCACATCCTGGGCTCCTGTGCGGCCCCCTGTGACGGCTGCGGCCTTCATCAGTTT